AAAAAATAAGGGCTAAGCGATTGTAGGCATAAAAAACCCCATCCCTAAAAAATAAGGCCCTCAATCATTCGTCTGACAAAACAAGAGGAAATTTATAGAAGTGTGCGAATGTATACATGAACAAAATAGAACTTCAAGATGGCACCGCTACAACCGGCAGTGCCCATGCGATACCTGGATGATTACTTCGCATTTTGGAAGAATTTCTTAAGTATGAAAACCAAATTAATAGACAAATTAAATTCACGATAGAAGAAGAGGAAGGTGAGCGATTACCGGTTCTTGGATGTTGAAGTGATTCGCTCTAATGGGAGACTCAAAAAGAAATTGTTCAGAAAGAAGCCTTATGCTGGGATAATACTCAATTTCTGGTCTCATCACAATTACATGATAAAGATAGGAATAATGTTGAGCATGATCATCCGAAGCCTACGCCTAATGGATGTAGAATTATGGAACGAGGAACTGGACAAATTTACTAGGATATTTCTCGGCAATGGCTACCCAAGCGAATTGATACAAAGAAACATACGGATCGTGAAAAGCCGATGGCAGAACCGGGACAATGAAATAACAGTAAGGACGGAGAAAGAATCACAAAAGTGTATATGCCACCTTGCAAACTAAATCAAAAACAACGACCAACATTGAGGAAATGGAATTTTTGGGTGGCCATTAAAACAAAATTAACACTTTTCATAAGTCTACCGATATGAAAGGGTTGACAAATTGGATTGTTCAGGAGTTTACTGTTTTTCATGCGGTGCATGCAAACATAAATATATTGGCGAAAGAGGGAGGAAAATTAGCATACGAATCAAGGAACATCAAACGTCCAGCAGGAAAATTGATACCGAAAGATCAGAACTAGCGGAACACATCGCACAGACTAGACACGAGATCAATTGGAAGGCAACAGAAAGAAGAGCCCCATATGGTGACAACACAAGGAAGCGGATAATTAGGGAGGCAATTGACATCCTTGGGAAGAAAAATCTAATGAACAGGTAGAGTTAGCGAAAACTTTACCTACTGCTTAAGGAAACTCGGAGAAAACACGGATAGAACAAGACCAGCAAAAAGGAGACGCCTGGATCAGGGAGGGAAAAGGATCGCGATAAAGAAAGTGGGGAGTTTCGGCAATCAAGCGAGGGCGTTGTCAATGACTGATGTCCGTTTCGAATATACCATTACAACTTTGGGGGGCTGGCAATCAGGGAGCTAGGCAGACGGATAAGCAAGCGGTCACAAAAATTCGAGGTTATGGCCAAAATGTACTATAAATCCACTTGAGATGACACATGTGACTAGAAATAGGCGTCCACATTTTGTCCACGTTACACAGGCTTATTCAAGGAGACGACCCGTGAAGGCAATGCCTGATATCTGCAGGCATGGCAATCACAGTCTGGTCAGTGTGGCGGCAGTGTATGTGCTCTAGGGCCTTGAGAAATAGCGGCTGGAGTGAAACGCATTCTGGGACCTGAACCGAGTGAAATCGGTCAAACAGAAAGATAAGGAACAAATCTACTTGACCATGAGGGAGATCCGGATAGGGGGCCCGAGTTTGAGTAGCCGATCGAAAGAGGTGATCGAGGTGAATAGGTGTGATGAGGCCACACTATATTTGCCACAAAAGGGCACGCATTTTGACGAGTGGAATGTAAACAAATGGGAAGTTGTGATAGGGCAAGAGTTTGATAAGAGGGTAGAGTAGATAGATAGGCCAGGACAGGAGTAATAATGTAACCGTTTTCGGCAAAATGTTGGCCGAGGGATTGACTTTACCTGTCTCTGACGAATTCGTAGCTTGGCGCGGAGAGTGTCAGCACTTACTGATGATGCCGGTGAAATGTTTGAGAAAGTACAAAGTCTAGTGTCTGATGCTGGGAATTATGATAAATACTATGGCCGACTTCGGATCAGGTACGTTCTACTAAGTCTCCCGGACAACATGACCAAGTTGCGACAACGAAGTCAATCCACTTATATAAATCGAAACGAGACTGCGACCATACCAGAGGCCACACCATCTTGGTCTTCACATCTTCAAAGAGGAAATTTATCTATTAGATAGAAGGTAAAGCAACAAGATGATTAAAACAAAGACAAGTATTCAATACCTTAACACCAAAGAAAAAGTGACTTAAATCCAGAACGTTTAGTGTTCGTGAGTCAGGCGGTGATAGATCTTGACGAACAAAAACAAGAGTAATGTTTTGGAGGCAAGCCCAAAATGAATAAAGCTGATTCAGTCAAGGAAAATTAGTCGTATAGTTGAGGGTATGAAAACCTAGATGGTGTGGCCTTTTGTGTGGTTGCAGTCTCCTTTCGTTGTATAGAAGTTGTTTGACCTTGCTTTCGCAACTTGGTCATATTGGAAGGAAGACTTAAAGGAACGGACCTTGTCCTGAGTCCATTGTATGCATAATTATTTCCAAAGTCGGACCGTGGACGTGGTACATTC